ACTCCCGATGCCCATCATGGAAAAACTGTCTGTTTTCTACCTAGGATTTCAGACAAATCAATCACAGGTCCTCAGTAGATGAAGTTATTGAGCAATTTCACAGTAAGTAGTGTAAGTATGATACTGGTGCAAAGAGACAGGGCTTGCTCCATAGAAATTTCTACTTATGTTCTTCCTAGAGTAGCACCCAGCAGGCACTCAGCTAATAAATAAAAAAAAAAAAAAAGAGGAACCATTGCTGTTGGAATTAAGTGGAATAAAGCTTCCAGTCCTAACCTATTTCATTTAGCTGCTAGAAGTGGCATAAAAATGTCCCTCCAAACGGAAATGAGTATGGGACAGTGGTGGCTGAGTGACAGAATTCTTGCCATCCATACAGGAAACCTGGATTCAATCCCCAGCCAATGCATCTCAGGTATAGTCACCTGTCACTGTAGGCTTGTGTGTTGGTATGAAGGGGCTTCTAGAGTTAGATAGACTAGGAAGAAAGACCTGGCAATCCATGTCTGAGAATCAGTCGATGTATATCCTATGGATCACAACAGTCTGTGATCAGGAACTACTTATGAAGAAGGTACAGGACTTAGCAGCGTTATGTTTCATTGGGCACGAGGTGGCCACGAGTTAAGAGTTGATACCACAGCAGTTAAAAACAGACAGAAATGAGCTGCAAAACACTGCCATGCTTGCAAAGATGAGCCACAAAAGTTTAGGGTTCTGTTGTTGTTGAACGTCGGCTGCTACTCACAGAAACCCTGTATAGGTGTCCGTGAAGTAGCTGGTGAGTTTGAACTGCCTACCTCATGGTCAGTACTCCAGTGCTTATCCAACAGCACCACACCAGGATTTTAAAGGCACTTAAAAAATCAGAGTCCTTGTGTGGTGCTGTTGGATAAGCACTGGACTGCTAACCACAAGCTCAGTGGCTCAAACCCATCAGCCGTTCCTGGGAAATCCTATACAGGGTTGCTCTGAGTCAGAACCAACTTGGTGGCACTTTAACAACAACATCAACAAAAATATTCTAGCCCCTTCACTACCACCAACACACACACTTTAGATATAAGGAGGCAGAGACATGGAGCGGTTACCATGGGCAACTAGCAGCCTAGTTAGTTGCCAGACCCTTGGAACCTAGACTCCAAATTCTTTACTATGCCTGGCCCCCAACCCCACCTACAGAGAGAAATTACTTCGTCTTAAAATGTTCCGATACTCCAGGGGAAACGAGATATATCGGACAATCTATGTGGTGCCAAGCATTCAAACCTTGTCTATCCATGAACATCTCATAGCCTGGAAATTATCACAGTTTCTTTCATGAGTTTGCTGTTGTTAAAGTGCCGTCGAGTTGGTTCTGTCTCATACTGACTCATAAGATTTCCAAAGGGCAGCTAGTAGGTTTGAACCACTGACTAGGTTATCCATTGCTTATCCTACAGCACCAAACTAGGACTCTTCCCTGAGCTTATGCCTCCTATATACCACACAAAGCTTTCTTCCCATCCCTTTACTTCTCCAAGTAATATATTTTAATAACCTTGTTTCAGGACCATTGAAAGGTTTCTACAGGAAAAATGGTCTCAGCAGCCTCAGTAAATACCCTAGCAGAAATGTTTACCACTTCTAATTTGCTGTTACACAACACCTATTTGCTCTCACAGTACGCCAAGGATATGAAAACATGTCGTTTTTTAATAAATAGTAATTAAGTCTCACTACCTAATTCAGAGATATGGTTAGGTTCTGGGATTTCCTCGAAAGGAGACTTAACTTTAAGGATTTTTCTTGAGACCAGACTTAGAAGGAGCATTCAATCAATGTGTCTAAACCATAAATACTGGTCCTTTTCACTGGCATTGGTCTTTCCTTCCCTTGTCTTTTTTCCCACCTCCTGGGCCCAATCTTCACTTCCATTTGGGCTCCCTGCTTCACCCCTTAGCTTTGAATACTTGGATGTCCTGCTTTACAAGGGAAGGCACCTGGTTAAGACAGCCAAATATCAGATTACAAAATCTGGCAACCTGAGTGTTCCTCAGGCTTTTAAAATGCTTTATTTTAAAAGCCTCATAACAATGCAAGCTGATGAGTCTTGCTTCGAGCAGGGCTTTCCTGCCTGCGAATCTAAAAGACATATGATGACAAACCAAATTAATGAAACTACAGAGTACTTTGGAAATGAATTCCAGTCGTAAATGCTGAAGCCTTTGTCTTGCACTAGATTTCCTTACAAACAAGAGAAGACCCCAGACGCAAAATCCACACCGAATGGATCAGAAATGACTGCTAATTTAGACTTGAGTCAAAGTCTCTGGTCTTGGCAGAGGGTGAAGCAGGCAACCTGAACTTAGGACCAGTTTTAGCAAGTTCAAGGAGACAAAGTGATGTTGATAATGCCAAAGCATTAATATTTACCTTAGAAAAGTGTGGTGTTGCACAAACGCACTGGACTGCTAACCACAAGGTTAGTAACTGATGATTATGGTACTGGAACACCCTTTACAGGGTCAATATGAATAGGAACCAACTCAACAACACTTAACAACAACCTTTGGTGGTGGTGGTGGTGGTGATGGTGGTAGTGTGCTATGGAGTCGGTTCCGACTCATAGTAACTCTATATAGGGTTTACGAGGCTGTAAATCTTTTCAGGAGCTAAAAGCCTCATGTTTGTCCCTTGGAATGGCTGGTAGTTTCGAGCTGCTGACCTTTAGGTGAGCAGCTGGACTCGACTGGTAACCACTTCCATAACAGAGCTCCTTAAAGGCAACAATTAGCAAGTTATTTAATCTCTTTGTTGTATTCGTTTTCTTGTGTGTAAATTGGAGATATAATAAAAACTTACCTCCTAAGGTTATTATGAACATTAAATGAATTAACAAATGCAAGACACTTAAAAGAATAACTGCCACTTGGTATCTATTTAGCAATGAGTACCATTACTATTACTAGGAGTACCATTACTGTTATTATGTCACTGAGTAAAAACACCTTGATCTTTATTGTTTGTTTTCTGCTCTTTAAGAACCCTTGCCCATACTACAGGATCTCAGTGGGAAGTTTCTTTTCAAAAATTTTTCCTAGAAGGCAAAGCTATGGGACCCTAGCAGCGACCCATACTCAAAGCTCCCTGGAAATGTAACCAGAGTCCAAGAGGTTGCTCTACTAGAATGCTACACTCTCTCCCCTCCCGTACCTGAAGGCAAATCTCCATCCTTCAGAAAGGTGGGAACCATCTGCAATCATCCCAGCAAAGCTTCCTACAACAGGAGTGGCTCAATGTACCACAGCTCTCAGACTTCAGCAGCTTGGCCACTGCAGATGTGCAGCTGCAGGGCTCTCTTGTGGAGCAAGAGTCATTTAGGGGAGACTGCATCAGTCTGCCTGGAGGTTGCGGGGCTGAAGGACCAATGTCAGGGGTTTAGAAGAGAATGGGCCATGCAAAGGAAAGTGCTCACACATGATGGGATTTCATGGTCTCCCATACCATCATCTGCATCCATATAATCCCTAGAAGAGGAGCAAGGAAGAGCTCAATTCTTGTTTCTTAAGAATTTGAGCATCTGAGAGTCATAATCCCTAACTCCAATAAACCTCAATGGAAATTGTCAGAAGTTTTTACCAAAATTAACCCATTCATTGGCTGTGCTGAGAGACACCCCTAAACTTCTCTTTATTAAAAGGCAAAGTACAGCAGGGAGACCCTATCCTAGTCTTCAGTACATGTGCTTTCCCCAGTTTCAGCTAGGAGTGCACCTACTACCTTCACAATTTCTCTCTGGTGAACCCAATGCATATAAGAGGGTGGTGTGAGTAAAAAAGATGGAACAACTGCAGTGGGCGCTAAGTATGGAGTAGAAGACAATCTGGGTTTGAAAATGTAGTTCAGAAAGGAAAAAAAAAAATACAAAAGAAAGAAGGAAAAACATCCAACATCACATCGATTCATCTCACGAGACACCTCTTCTGTTTCTTTCCAGCCTAATCAACACCTCAATGAGCCTCTGAAAAATGCTGGGTACATATGGCACTTGTGTGAATATATATACTGACAAAAACAGATCAACAACAAAAAAATGATTCGATGAGAGAAGAAAATGACTTGAACTTCAGACTCACTAAGCAGTACCTAATTGTCTTTCACTCTCATTCAGAAGCACTCCAAAACAAAACCCAACTCCAGAGCACAAACAGCAGCTGAACTGAGCAACACATGCTTGGAACGTTCATGCTGTCGACTTGTGATTATTTCTGCGATACGTAGCCATCAGCATCGTACTAAATATATGTAGCCCTGAAGAGCAACCGCCTATACAGCGACACTCACAGACCCTCCCATGGAGAAACGCACGCGTGTGTGTGTGTGTGTGTGCGCGCGCGCGCGCGCGCGCGCGTGCGCGTGCAACTAAGTGAAATGTACATACAGTTGGGCAAGGATCTGCCTACATGTGACCCTGAACAGAGAATTTGTGTTTCTCCTATAATTACGTGGCCATCCAAAGTCTTGCCTATATCTTAATACGTGCAGATGTCTATATGAACTGTGTATGAATACACGGTATAAGAACAGAAGTGAAAATTGACTGAACCCTGATTTCCTCGTGACCACATCTCTCGTCGACACAGTGTGACCATACACACGGTGAGTAAACACACATTCAGTAAACAGAAGTACCCACCATGCTTAGCCCACAATCACGCGTGGGGAGAAATAGTCGAGAAGGTGGTGGTGTCAGGGGAAGTGGAAAGTCGCCCGCCGGCGTGGGCTGTTCTATGAAAGCCCAGCGATCTCCCCCAGCCCAGAAACCGAGTCCACACGCACTGGGAGGGAGCAGACCCAACCACTGGGCGCACGGTTGAGGGGGTCCACGGAGCCAACAACCCACAAAGAGAACGCGGTGCCTCCTGGTTCCTGCCGCTACCGCGGCAGAGGCAGCAGGAACCGCCTATGCACCCGCTGGCGCTGCCACCTCCACCCTCTTTCCCCCGGTCCCCACTTACGTTCCGAGGGTCTCCTTGAACTCGAAAATTTTCTTGATGTCTTCAGCTTGCTTTTTCCAGGAGGAGCTGCTTTCGCCGTTCTCCCGGGCCATGGCAGAAGAGTGAAGCGTGTGCGGAGGGGCCAAGGGACGCGGGGGCCGGAGACGGGGGAGCTGAGGAAGGGGCGCCCAGAGACTGGAACGCAGGGGGGCGGCGGCCCGGAGCACCGAGGTGGCGCGAGAAGAGGCGAGCAGGCTTGAGAAGGATGGGGTGGGCGGCGCGGAGATGCTCTGCGAGGGAGCCAGAGACAGACTTTGTGCTGCGGCAGAGCTTCCTCTTCTGCAGTTTCCTCTTTCACTCTCTCGCCGCCTCGGTCCCTCCCTGGCTCTTATTTCTGCTCGTTTCTGGCAGACTTCCTGCCGCCGCCGCTGCTGCTGCTGCCGGCTCCGCAGCCGCCGCTTAAAGGGCTCCTTTGCCGCCTGCTGCAAACCTCACTTTCAGCTACTTTCTTTCCTCCCTCCTCCTCCTTCAAGCTCCCCGCCCTCCCCCGGCGCCCCAGCCGCCTCCCCGCCTCCCGCGCGTCGCCGCCTTCGGGGATGTCCTGCTCCGCGGGAGTACCGTGCCCTGAGTGCTGAGGGCACCAACTGTCCTCAGGCAGGCGAGGTTCCTCGGCCGCTGCGCACAGACTCCACGACAACCCTAGAACTCAGGAGGGGGCAGGTGCTGGGGACCCATACAGGTGCGGGGCGCCGAAGCGCACAAGGGAGACACCTACTCCCTCCGGTTGCTTTATTAATTCTGCAAAGTCAAGTCTCGGGGGCACGAGGGCTTTCCTTCCTCGCTGCCGAAGGGGGCGCCTCTGTGTTCAGTTCAGACGCTGCCGGGCGGGGGAGGGTGCGCGTCAGTCCCACTGTGGGGCGGAGAGGGCGGGGGCCAAAGCGCCTTCACCCAGCCCCTGCGCCTTCGCGCGTCCCGAGCGATCGCCAATACGGCTGGCAGCTAACCCGACTCCTCCTGGATCCCGGAGGGCGGGGGTCGGTTGTTATGGCGATGGGAGGCAGCGGCGAGGATGAAAGCGGAGGTGGGCGTTAACTCTAAGCCCGCGGCGCCTGCCTGCGGCTGATGCTCCAGAGCCTGCGGGTCCTCTCCAGAATCCGCTACTGGCGCTAATTCGCATTGCACCAAAATCCGTGCTCACGTCAAATTATGGACGGGGGTGGTGAGAATGAAGGACTAGTGAATAGGAGAAAGCCCAGGAGCCGCGGG